AGATGAAGACATTTAATCTGCTCATTGTATATGAAAGGCATTCCACAAAGCTTTACATTAGGTACACAGAGGCTGTTGGTGTGCGGAGCAATGAATTCAGCATTTGTAGATTGTCTTCCTATTTCTTCGTTTTCATGTAATTTTATTTTGTCTTTGAAGTATGTAGGGGAGTCCAGAAGGGGAAACATTTCATTATGCCCATGAATTATTCAGTTATGGATCTTATTTTAACAGTACTTTAAATGGCTTAAAACCTTTCCTTTTTCTAGTTTTTCTCTGATTTCTTTCCTGGTGATATACTATACATCTTAAGAGAAATAAAGTTGTTGCTCGAAATATATATAAATTTATATAAATACCTTGTTTTCCAACACCTGTGCTATTTGTTGAGGATCTTCGCGCTGGCTTTTTTCCATGCCCGTCCCATAACCCCCAGTATAGCATTTTTTGGAGTTTGAACGGGACCCCTTGCTTCCTTCTTCGTCTGTAGAAAAGCTGGCTGGATCCCACCCATGGCTGTTCTGAAAGTAAAGTGGGGGAGGGGGTCACGTCACATATGTGGCCCTGAGCTTAGAAGAACACTGAGATACAAATGCAGTAGGTAGCTGTAATCCTCTGTCACATATGGATCTGGCCAATCACAAAAATAATTTGGTTGGTGCCAGTGCATTATAAGCAGAAAGGAAATAGCCACTAGCATCCTTCCATAAGTGCTTGTGTGAGATATCTCACTGTACTACAACAGGCAACTATCACACTTCTCATGCAGGAGTTTACATGCTTCCACTTAGAGAAGCAGAAGGATATCTTCAGAAACTTTCACATTTTTCTTATGTAGCATTTTCATGTGAGATGTAATATAGTCTTCCATGAGCAGAAGATGCCTTGTGGAGAAGCAGCTTGGGGATCAACCCCATCCCTTCCTTATTCACGACAGACACAACATGTTGTTTCCTTTAAGCTGCCCACTGTGATTTGTTCTCTTGCCTCCAAATCAGGATTAAGCTACAAGTTGGAAGCATGGTCCGAAAGCGTGAAAAAGAAACTCTAGTTTGTAACTCAGACGAAATGACAACCTGTAGCTTGGTGTAAATATGCAGGTGATTAATTTCGGGGCTGTATGCTAGAGAAGAAAGGGGGGGAGGGATATGAGCTAGAAGATATCTGGAGCTCAGGTTGTAGTGACAAAATATGATCGCTACATTATGTTGATTGCTTTTTAATGTTCTCTTTTTGCCCGTCTGTCAGGCTGAAAGGTGACACACAAATATTTTCATGCAAATAAATAAAATTGGAGCTCTCTGTGACCTTTTACGTCCCTGGGCCACTGTGTCATTAAATAATTTTTAAAACCTCATTCATTGCAAGTGCAAAATAGTAGTCCAAGTTTCATAAAATTCTAATGTAGCAATCCAGCTGATTGATGCTCGAAGATCGCAAATTTAAGTCTGAGTGAAACCAAAATCTACTGCTGAACAGGAAGCCAGACACAGTAAAAAGCCTAAGAACTTGTTAATAAACATCTGGGATTAATGGAATGTAGATTCATTATAATGTTTGCAATCAAAGCGCAGAATGTCACAAACATTAGTCAAGACTTGGTAACAGTATTGCTGTAATTGGATGGTAATTTGCATCATTTGAATAAGGGAACATTGGATCATACAGAAAGATGACATATTTTCTGCATTGTTAATGGTAAACAAGAGAGGGCAGGCAGCTTATCATTCATTGAACAAGTGAACAAGACCTAGATCACTCACAGTCTGTTAGAAGGCCATGTTAGAAGGGCTGTAAGTGGGTGCCAGCAGAAACGTAGGTTGATGCTTGGCCATATATAAAAAAGCATGTTTGGGCATAACAATTTAAAGAATATTGAAGGGCAGAACTGAGAAGATCAGTAGCTGAACCTGCAAGACCGTAGAGGGGGATACTGTATTATACTTGAATCTGAATCTTTTCCCCAAGACATGGATGCATCCGGTACCTAAAGCATCCTTTAGCTCTACCTTGCAAGTAAAAGTTAAGGCAATAACCATCCATCCTCTGCTGCACTTACTTGTTTCTCAGCAGACTTCCCAGTTTTCTTCCTTTGCCATATCCATTGCTTTGCGCCTTTTCAGTTGGGTCTCCTTTGCCCCACCCATAGCCCCAGGAGAGGGAGGAGCATAAATTGCAGCTGACATTAGTACTACTTTACAATCATTTCCACAGCCTTACCGGGGTGTGTGTGTTGTTGTTACTTTGTATATCCCCCACCATTCTCCCCAGTGGAGACTCTAGGCAGCTCACATTATTCCCCTCTCCTCCATTTTATCCTCAAAAACAACCTTGGGAGGTAGTTGAGGCTGAGTGTGTGTGGTTTGCCAAAGGTAACTCAGCAGGCGGCCATGGCCGAGGGGGGAGATTCAAAGCTCTCAGATCCTAGTCCGACACTCTAACCGCTGACCCCCTAACACAATTATTTTGTACTGAATGGAACTTCAAGGAGCAACACCCACAGAGAAATTCCTCCTTATTTCCCCAGTGTCCATGGAGACCACAAGCAACATCCCATGGATGTGCACTCCCATAACCCAGAAAACTGGGGATCCCGGGGGACAAGTGTACCAATGCATTGTAAGAAAAGTGAGCAAAATGAGACACCTCTTGAAAACTAGCTCATTGTTGCAAAAAAAACATGTAACTAAAACTAAATAATGTAAGATTTTGAGTACACAGAGGACTAAATCTCTCTCTCTCTCCCACCCACCACTTCTGTGGTAGTTAAGAGCTAAGGCGTGCATCCGCAACCCCAGAGACAAAAGAGACAAAACTTGTTCAGAATTAGCTCTTTCTCTGCTGAATATTTTTTTTTACAAAACTGTTAAAAATGATTTTCAGAAGCTAAAAGAAATTGCTTTGAAGAAATTCCTTTGTATTTTTTTAAAATTATATTTTTACAACACATTCTTGAATCTGAGGGTCGCAAATCTTTGTAGTGTGTGCAGATGCTAGGGAAAAAAATATGGGGGGAAATAAAAATACCCAAAGTATGAATCCCACCTGTACTGCTCAATGGCTCTCCCATAGAGTGGATTTTGATCCAAGGAGCAGGACCAACATTCAGTTGCAAAATCCATCCTTATGGGATTTTGCATTTATGCCTCTGTTTTGGACTTCAGTGGTTTCTAAATCTTCTGGTTTAAGGTGAAAAGAGGAAGAACCACATTTTTGTATGCTGCTGCAAACCTTTCTGTTTGGATTATTTGACAGAGCGCAAAGAAATGACAGGGCCCACTTGGTACTGTATGTTAGTGATAGAGATGCAAGCAAAATAACAGTAGCTAACTACTGAGATGGTGAGTGATGAATTGGGGGTAAAAGAGGGAAGGTAAGTGAAGGGGGATTAGCAGTGGATCTTCTAAGAACACCTGGAGAATAAAAATCAGAATGGACACAGGAGTTTTATAACTTTTAATCTAGAACCATTTGTTGGACATATGCAGTGGTATTGAGCAAATAATAAGTATTCTTAAATTGCCTTAACTCACAGTCCTTTGTGTACTTTCTTGAAAACGAACCCTATTGAACTCAACTGAATTAGTTTCCGAGTGAATATATGTAGGACTGGGCTGTGAAATGCTGTGGTACTTTGATGAGACAGAACTGCAACAGTGAATCGGCTCCTCTTTTTCTGCAACGGATCTAGTATCTGTTGGGCTGGCTGTTGCTATGAGGACTTCTACTGGGGCACAAGGGAAGTGTCACAGTATGTTGACGCTGTTGTACAAAAGTTCACTTCCATGTGTCTCTGTGTGCACAGCAGGAGTTAAAGATGTGCGCACTAAAGAAAAACTCTGGTAAGAGGAAAGCTGTGTTTTAAAGTTTCTAAGGGGCTATTTCAAAGTCAGTGGAGAGTTTTATTAAACCCTTTGCTGAAGCACTTCTCTGAAAGTAGCAATTAAGTCCCCCCACCCCAAAAGGACATGTCAGCACTCATCTGTCAGCATTTCTCTGGAACTTTGATGGGAAATTTCTTCTCCATTTCTTTCCTCCTAATCAACTTACAGCATTCAGTGCCAAAAATTTTGCGTGAAAATGGTGTAAGGACCACTCCTCTGAAATTCTCTTGCTGCCTTGGGCAGGTTCTTTGGAGAGGTGGTGCAGGAATTTTCAAATAAACACCACCATTTTGAAAATCAACGAAAGTAGGGTATTTTAACTTTGCGTAGATGCCTGTGATTTTTTTCTTTTCAAATTAATAACTATTTAACAGCAATGAATTAAAGAATTCCTAGTCCTAGTACTGGTTTTTCAAGGTCTCACAGAAGTCTTTCTCGCCAGGTCTCCTGAGATCCTTATAAGTAGAGGTACCAGAGATTGAATCTAAGATCTGCATCAAGGACATATGCTTAGTTATGCCCCTACAGCAAGATTTGGAGAAAGATGCTAGTCTATGAAAACACATCTACTTTGCTTCCTGAGAGCTGCTTATTTATGTGATAATAACCTTTTTGAATTTGAACCTGCAACTCAGAAAACCCTTTCCTAACACAAGCATAAGTATGTGCTCAAGCTGACATTTTTCTTGAGCCTGAATATAAAGTTATCCCTATATTTCCTGGTCAATATGCATCGTTGGACTGGCCTTATGGACCTTTGCTCTGATCCAGAAGTTCTTCTTTTATATCTTTAGAGCCTCCTGTTAATTAATCAGAAGGATTTTCAGTACAATTCTAAACTGTTACATCCTTCTAAGTCAACTCTGCTTACGATTGTACTGTTTGTATATTGCCCGAGGACTATGCATGGTTTCCAAGGAAAGTCTATGCATGCTCCCTGAGCAATATTAAAGAAACCACCCCTGTAAGTTTTTGTTGTTCTTGTTGTTTTTGTAGAAGTACAATCACTGGTCTTTATCTGTTCAGCTCATTTTAGTACCTACATACATATGCTGAACATTTTTTGTGTTTCGGATTTGTTTATCTTCAGTTCTGTATTCTTCCCTTGTTTTACAGGATGTTTTGAATAATTTGGGCTCCTGTGACCTGGATGAAGATGACCTCATGCTTGACTTGGAATTCCTTGAAGAGCAGCACCATCATCGTTCCGGTGAGTCGGACAAATAAGCAACATTGAATGTCTTGAATATTCTTTTTATATGTTAACTTTTCATAGAAAGGAATTAGCTAACTACACTTTTTAGGAAGCAGTTAGTAAAATCTTCTAAAAAGGAGATGAGTGGGTTGTGTATATAGCCATTTAATGGTTCTGTTGCCTTTGAGAAACTGGTCTCTCAACTACAGATACTGCTTTCTTGCAGAACATCTTTTATGATGACATTACATGTGGCGATCACGCTGTTTCACTATGGGTCACTTCATGAGGCTGATTGTCAAACGGTAGAGACACTTTTGCAGACGCTGTATTATCCCAGTTGCTCAGTGACTGGAGGCTCGTTGGTTTTCCAGATGCTTTTAATGCCTAGTGCCTCCAGGGTAGCTGTTGAAGAGCTGTCACAGATGCTAATGCCACTCTGTTGTGTGTGCATGTTGGCGTGGTGCTTAACCTTTCCCTCCTGCTTTCATTGTTAATGTCTTTAATCGTAGGCCTTGCCATATTAATTTCTCTTTTCCCCACATTTAACTCTTGTGCCGTGCTTCTGGTTCCATGTCACCTTTGGTTTAAAACCCCGTGTAATCTGGAATCTTTCCAGATGACCAGATATTTGAGACAAGTACTTCATAAGCGATGAATAACTATGGTCATTGCTTTAGAGCCAAGGGCCCAAATCTTTTTCACCATGCCGGACCATGCAGGCACCTTTTGAATTCTGACACAGGGTGGTGGGCGCAACAACAAAATGGCTTCCACAGGAGGTGGAGCCAACAACAAATTGTTGGGGAACAAGGTCACACAGAACTGTCAGAGTAACCCTGAGACATTTAAGGCAGAAGCTCTGTTTAACAGGAGGCCTTTTAATCTGCACAGCCAATCAGAAACCCTTCTGGTCATGAGCCCCACCTAGCCCCTACCTACTCCCAAAAAACACTTGGTGAGTACCAGGAAAGGTATTGGCAGGTACCATGCGGTCCTTCCAAACACCATATTGGGGACCCCTGCTTTAAAGAACATAGCTTTAATTCACACGTGTATATAAATTGTATAAAATTATATAAAATTATATACACGTGTATAGAAATTATATAAAATATAAACGATACCCCTCATGATTACAGACTACGAATGGAATTAAGAATAAGAGAGAGGAGTTGCAGCTGTCTTGACAGCAGCCGTTAGAAGAGGGTTTTTAATTTTTGTTGTAATTGTTGCAAGCCACAGTCAACCTTCAGAATTCAGTGGGCTCAAAATTGTTCTTGTTTCTGATGGTTAACACTTTTTCGAGAAACATAAACATTCCTGGCTCATTTGATAAAGTAAGATGGTTGACAAAAGTTTATGCTTGAAATAGCCTGGGATTTCTTGTTTATGTTGACAGAAGATAACATCTGCATTCAAATGGCTCCAGAGGCTGCAATCATATTTTGGTTTGGCACTTAAATAGTTTATTGCTGTGCTGATGCCTGCCCACTGCTCCTCCCTTCTCCATCCTCCCTCTTTTTTCTGCACAAATGGCTCAATTAGCTCCAAGTCTACATAAAGCCTTGGTGAATTGGTTTATTGCACATAAACTGGGATTCTTATCTGTGATTAAATGTAACTCCCGGGACAGATTTAGCTAAAATCACTTGACTGGACTCACAGCCAAGAAATATTTCAAAGGCAGAGACCCCAACACAATTTGAGTTATATAAAATATGAATATACATTCTGCAAAGAAGATTAAAGCAGGCCACTCTTCCTAACAATGCTACGTTGGACCAAATGTTGCCAGACAAAGTTAGGATTGTTCATACAATGTGAGAAGAGGAGGAGCACTCATCTCCCAGCACTATTGAGAACTGCTTGATGAAAAGCTTTGCCATCTCAAATTACGTTGGACGCTTCTTGAATGATTGTTATTAAAATGCATTTCTGAAGTAATCTTTTCTCTTTTCTTTGAGTGACAAAGCTGAGTCAGCCTCTCTAAACAGTTCTGGGAGATCAGTGCTCCTCCGAGAGCCAGTTTGGTGTAGTGGTTAAGAGCGGTGGACTCTAATCTGGAGAAGCAGGTTTGATTTCTCACTCTTCCACATGCAGCCAGCTGGGTTACCTTGGGTCAGTCACAGTTCTCTCCGAGCTGTTCTCTCAAGAGCAGTTCTCTCAGAGCTCTCTCAGCTCCACCTACCTCACAGGGTGTCTGTTGTGGAAGTAGATTGTAAACCGCTCTGAGACTCCACGTGAAGGGTAGGGTATAAATCTTCCTCTTCTCCTTCTCCTCCCCCCTCCCCCTGCCATATAAGCTCCCATCAATGTAGCGTAAACTGTACTGTCAGATCATGCCCATTAAGTTCTTGGTTTAAATACATTAAAGATACTGTTAATTTTGCCACAAACGAGTTTGACAGTTGAACTTGCCATGTTTGATGGTGTCGGTCAGCTGTGAGCTGGCTGCCCAGCCTATTTGGTACATGCCAAATATCTGTGAACACTTGCCAAATAGGTTTGCAGAACTGTACACGTGCAAAGACACTGCTGATTCAAACCAATTGGCAGCCATTAGCATCTCCATGGTCTACTTAGAAATGTTGAAAGGTTGGATTTTATTAAAACACATCATTTATTTATTACTGATTTATATGATTTTGACTGATTTAATTGTCCATTTAAATAATAGTCTACTGAGTGGAGCAGTTGTGCAGCAAGGGTGGGGTGGTGGTGGTGGTAGAACTCAGACTGCACATGCACAAAGCAAATTGGATTGTACTACCTGGTTAGGAAGGAATACAGCGAAACAGCTTGTCAGACAGCATCGAAAAAGTTGACAAACATTTGGATTGATCAGAGGTCATTTCAGGGGGGGGACACGGGGGAACGCAGTTCCCCCGGGTGAGGTGCAGGGGGGGGGCACATGACAAAGCCCCGCCCCCTGCTTCCAGCAGCCTCGCTTCCGGCCCTCATTCAGCCAGGAGGAGGCAGGAGAAGAGGGAGGGTAAGTTGCTTCCTCCCTGCCTCTCCCCACCCCTGCCTGCCTGAGGCCAGGGAGGGCCTTTGCAGGGCTTCCTTGCACTCCTGCTGGCCTTGCAGGTTCACAGCCAGGCCCCTCATGGGGCTCGGCAGTGGAGCTGCAAGGCCAGCGGTGGTGGCCGGGACCGTTGGGGGCAGGGTGTGTGGCCTTATGACACACTTCCGGTGATGTCAGGGTGTGTGGCATATGCTAATGAGTTATGCTAATGAGTTCCCCTAGCTCTTTTCCTACGAAATGACCCCTGGGACTGATAATTGAAAAATCAGCTTCCTGTTTGCAACTGGCAAGTTTTTGAGCATCCCCAAAACACATCCATTTAGTTGGTGGAAAAGAAAACTCACAGGAAAAATGTACTGGGTCATTTTAGATGTCTGCCCAATGCAAAACTAGCATACAGAGGCTGCTTGAGATCCAAAGCATGTGGAGGATCTACAGAAACCCACTTGTATTCAGAAGCTAATTGTGAGAATTTGATATTTTCATCTTCACAGTTTGCAATAGCATAGTAGAATGGGAAGATTCCTATAGTGAGCTGGGATGCACAGAGTTCAGATGGCCCACATGCAGCTGTTTTTCTGTGCAGATTGATTACATGTTGTTACAGGTTATTCTGTTGGATTAGTTTTTTCAGTATGAGTGCACGAACACACCAGCAAACATCTTTTAAAAAATTAACTCATATTGAGCATTCCCAGATAAGCTTATTAGTTACCACACTTCTTTTCTCACTGGCCCTGGCTAATGAAGAGCCACCAGTTTCCCCTGTCAAACTTTCAACAGAATGGCCTCCGGCAGAACCACTGTGTATTTATTCTTTATCAATTTTCTGCAGGAGGCATTCACAGAGAATGTCTAGCCATGCAGCTTGTTTCCTCCGTTTGTGAGGCTTCCAAATCAACATGTCTATATATTGACATTTGTATGACATAAAGACGACCTCTGAGTGGCGAAGACTCCTTTAAAGCTTACCATATTTGAAATTAGCTTGGAGTGTGAAAATAGTCTTGGCTATGTAAGGGATTCATGGACAAACTCTGAAAATACAAGTGTGTTTCCCAGGGGTCGTTTCGTAGAAAAAGAGCTAGGGGAACTCATTAGCATAACTCATTAGCATATGCCACACACCCTGAAATCACGGAAGTGTGTCATAAGGCCACACACCCTGACATCACCGGAAGTGTGTCATAAGGCCGCAAGGAAGCCCCGCCAAGGCCCTCCCTGGCCCCAGGCAGGCAGGGGTGGGGAGAGGCAGGGAGGAAGCAACTTACCCTCCCTCTTCTCCTGCCTCTTCCTGGCTGAAGGAGGGCCGGAAGCGGGGCAGCCGGAAGCAGGGGGCGGGGCTTCATCATGTGCCACGCCCCCGTACCTCACCCGGGGGAACTGCGATCCCCCGCGATCCCCCCCGAAATGACCTCTGGTGTTTCCTAAATATCTGATAGCTGAGCCATGTTACAGATAGAGGCAAACTTCACCGCTGTGCTGAAAAGATTTACTTAAATTATGAAAGGATGAAAGAATAGGAGCTCCACCCACTGCCAGTGGCTTTTCTCTGGTGTTTCCAAAGCTTACTTTGCTCTGAGGTTTTGGGAGAGATCACAGCAAAACCAGGGAGGCTGCTCTGTGAGTGGAAAAGTTTGGATTTTCCTGGTCCTGTCCAAACAGCAGACGTTTTCCATGGGGTAGCCATTTGTTCTCCCTGCTGTAGAGGGCCTTTCTTTTTAAAAATTTGGTTATTCTATCACTTTATACGGATATACCACTATACTAAAATATGTTGGAATATACAAGGTTTGTAGTGCACCTACTTGATTATAGGGTTGCCAAGTGGTCTTACCTTGCCCGGCGGGGGAGCCTCGCTGGGCTCCGGGAGCTCCTCGTCAGCGCGTGCGCCACCAGCACGTCACCGGAAGTGACGTGCTACGTTGCTTACATTGGGGGCATGGCCCAGATCGTCAGGGGGGGGAACCATATGGTTTCCCCCCCA